AATTCACAATGGCCTTTCAAATAAATCAATTGTTTTAGCCTGTACAGTAATCTAGTTCAACTTCTATTTTCTTCACCAATAAATCTCAGATTTCATACCCACAAATCAGCCATGGGCCAGAATGAAAGATTTAACTAAAGCTTCGGTATGGTAGTTGTTGAGTAAGCCCTCTGATACATTTCCACACTATAAACACTTAATGAGACTTGTTCCCAACAGACTATCTGAGTATATACTACATCAATTTATTTCATAGTATTATATTTGTATGAGCAGAATAGAGGAAAGGTTATTTTAGATATTTTTACCAATATAGCTTCCTGTAAATAATGAAAAGTACAACTATTTAATTTATAAAATCATTAAAAATGGTTAAATGTTCAATAAATTCTGTGGTAGTATCTAGTTCAGACAGTGTTTGCAGCTATTGTAACTTTGATATAAAAAATATATAAAACTTGGGCATTTCATATTAGTTTATGCATCCCTTTCTCTGACTAGAATTGATGTCAAAGATTGTAAGGACAATATTGGCCACAGGAATATATCTTCAGCACTTCTGCTTGCCTTATTCAGAAGTGAGTCAGGCATTCAGAGGACCTTTCTTAAGAAAAAGACATCATTCTCATATTTATGCCCATTTTCATCAAAGCTACAGACACTCTCTCTCCCAGTTTCCAACCCCTGCTATTTCTTGCCTGTAGCAGTCACTTTCAACTAATATGAGAAATACAAGATGCCTCAGAAGGAGGAACAATTTGGAAATCTTCTGTCTTCTTCTATAATCCTAAGAATATAAAATRCAATATCTGGGATAAACAAGATCCCTTATGGGAGCATCCCCTGATRCAATTCTGTTTAGACTGTGGAAATGAGTTATACAATTCTATTCATCTACTCTGGAAAATTTCACCTCACCATACCTAAAACCTCCTAAATAACGACTGTTTATACTTTTTTATTAGTTACACATGATAGTATAATGATCTTGACAATCCATACATTTGAATCAAATGGGCTATAATTTCTCATTTTTCTGATTGTACAGGTTTCAGAATCACATTGGTCATACAGTCACCTATATACATACAGTAATAATAATGTCTATTTTATTCTGCTGCCCTTCCTATTCCCCTTCCCCTCCCCTCCCATCACATCTCTCTACCCAATCTAATGTAACACACTTCTTTTTTTTTCTCCTTACAACATCATACATRTATTCTGTATAACGATGAGGGTCTCCTTCCATCTTCCGTGCAATTCCCCTTCTCCCTCCTTTTCCCTCCCACCTCTCTTCCTTATTTAGTGGTAATCTTCTTCTCATGCTCTTCCTCCCTATCCCATTTTGAGTCACCCCCCCCCTTATATCAGAGAAGACATTTGGCATTTGTTCTTTAGGGACTGGCTAACTTCACTTAGCATAATCTGCTCTAATGCCATCCATTTCCCTGCAAATGCCATGATCTTGTTATTTTTTAGTGCTGAGTAATATTCCATTGTGTATAAATGCCACATTTTTTAAATGATCCATAGACAAAGTYTTACCCACCAAAAAGTTATTTCATCTTTTGGACTTGGTTATATTTATAATTTTTCTGATAGTTCATATAAACTTAAGAACCTTATCATATATTATGCTGAAATTTGATTAAGCATGCWGTGGTTTGGATATGAGTTGTCCCCTCAAATCTCCTGTGATAATGAAGGAATAGTCAGAGACCAAATTATTAGATTATGAGAACTATAACCTAATCAGTCCATCCTAATTTGAGTATTCTAAGTGATTGATAACTACAGGCCTGTGACCATGGCTGGAAGCAGTAGGTCACTGGGGACATGCCCTGAAAGGGTGCATCCTCCCTACATGCCTTTCCTCCAGGTCCTCCACTTCCCAGATACCATGAATGCAGTAGCATTCCTCTGCCAGAAACTTCCATCACCATGTTCTGCCTCATATTGGTCCCACAGCCACAGAGTTCCCTGCCTATGAACTAAACCTCTAAAACTGTGAGCCCCCCCAAAACTTTTCCTTCTCTAAGTTGTAGGTATTTTAGTTACAGCAAGGAAAAGCTGACTAGCATAAGTACATCAAGTCTATGAGAAGGCAATATAGGATAGAATCAGAAATTCCTCTGAAAATAGAACAGACTCACATACTACTATGCACTAGCTTTCTAACTAGAACAAGTTACATAAGTTATGTCTCCGTATTATTTTCTATAAAATGAATATTTACCTTATAGGGACACTATAATATTTAGGTGAATAATTCATGTCAAATTTTTAACAATCAAAAAATATTATACATTTAATTTATTGAGGGCCCAATACTCTGTTAGTATCTAGGTGATATCCACTAGTATCTCTGGCATAAAAAAAAAATGGAGTATTCACTCTTACTGAAGGAAAAGACACTGGGGACTATCATGCTAAGTGAAATAACCCAATSCCMAAAAACAAGGCCAAATGTTCTCTCTGATATGTGGATACTAACACACAATAAGGAGAGTGGGGGGAAGAATAGAATTCCATTGGATTAGACAAAGGGGAAATGAAAAGAAGGAAGGGAGATGCTAATAGGAAGACATTAGAATGAATTAGACATAACTTTTCTATGTTCATGTATGAATACACAACCAATGTAACTCCACATCATGTTCAAGCACAAGATTGGGATCCTAATTAGAATAAGTTACACTCTATGTATGTAAAATATGTCAAAATATATTATATTGTCATATATATCTAAAAAGAAAAAAAACAATATGAATTTTTTTTAAAAAAAAGAAAGCTATGCATCTAATAAACAAGATTATTGAGTGCTCATTACATGGGACAAATAATTATGATGAAGAGTCACAATTAATCTTCTACCTTATTAGACAAATAATTCTTAAAATTTTCACATGGGTGATAATAACTAGAAATTTAATAAATTTTCACAAGGATGCCAGTAATTGGGAATTTAATAATGATTTTTAGACACGAAGACACCTGTGTGAAGATGTAATTAAAGAAAAAGCAAGCTAGATTTAAATTTATTAGTTTTCTAATGAGTTTATCATTAAAGTAATAATTTTAGAAATAATATATGCATTACACATGTTGTTTTTAGTTTACTTTTTAAATTCTAGGTAATTTTTTTTTGTAATTTTAATTATATTAATTTCTTCATTATAAAAGACTCCACCTCAAGTCATCTCTAAGAATGATACAAAAGACTAAGATTTGTTGAGCATTTATTATGTGTCAGGCATTGCTCTAAACATTTGTACCTTTGTTATTAATTCATTGATTCTGAAAAAAATTATGATGTAGACCCTGTTACTATCTCCCCTTTATAAATGAGAAAACTGAGAGTTACATAAATAAATTTCCCAAGATTACAAAGATAGGAAGTGCCAAAAGTGGGATAGGAACTTAGGAATTAGGGTTCTAGAATCCCTACCCTTGTTAAGCACTACATTATTCTGTCTCCCATTAAGAAACTACATATCTGACTGAGGTTTCCAATTGACATCATACTTGAAAGTCTGATAAATTTCTTAACTTCAATATTCAAAATTAAGTTTCTGGTCTTCTTCCCATAACCAGCTTTACCCATAGTCTTCCCTTTCATGGTTGATGAACACTTCATTTATATAACTGCTCAAGCAAGAAAGACAAACAAACCAACCCTCAAAATTWTCTGTTGTCAAGAGATATGCTGCCCATATACCCCTTCTAAATGAAACTTGCTGTTCAGCTATGGACAGGACTGTTCTCAGGTGTACAGGGCTATCCTCTCACCTTCAGAGCTCACACACTTCCCAGGGCAAGGTGACCTATATCCAGTAACTGAAAGAGGCATAAAGGCTTGTCCACTTCTGCTTAATAAGGTACTCTGGAGGGCAATCCTCTCTCAAGAATTCACTGCTGATTGACTCAGCCTTTGTGCATCTGGCTCTTAAGTACACTCTGCTCAGACCTGTCCCTTCCTTCTTCCCTTCCCATATGTGAATTCCTAATAACACCTTGTATCCCAAACTCCATTCTGTGTGTGATTCTGAAGAACCCAGCTAGAAACACCACCCATGACTCCTTTTTTCTCATGTCCCACACCCATCTGTCAAAATTCATTTGACTCTACTCACAAAATTTAGCCTTGATGTCCTCTGACATTGCCAAACTAAAATGTGAAGTGGAATGAGGAGGTACATGAAAGTGTAAGGGTGAAACCTGGATTACTATATAGCCTCCTACATGGTTTTTCAGCTTCTCTGGCTTACTCTTCTTCAGTCGATGCTCTATGTGCAACCAACATAGTCTTTTTAAGTATCTTTATGTTAAAACCTTATAGTGGATTTCCATTTAACTCAGAGAAATAGCCTACAGAGCCCTCCATAACCTATTCCCACTGACTATCTACCCTAAGCCTCTACACTTGTCCCTTGCTGTTTCCACCCAGGTACCCTGGCTTCTATGCTGTCACTTAAACAAAGAGGACATGTCTTCAACACTTTGCTATAGTTCTCTATCTGCCCTATTTCCCAGTCTATATCAAACCTTTGACAATATCAGAGTTTTTCAATATAACATATGATATAATTTAGTTATTAATGTTTATTTTTTTGTCTATAGGCCCTGGCTAAAATATAAGCCCTTGTAAAATGCCAGGGATTAGATCTATCCCAAGCACATAGAGCAGTTCCAATAATAAATATTTGTAAAGATAATAAATCCTACATTTTGGAAGTTGATCTATATAAATAAAGTCATCACTTCAATCCAATAAACAATTCAAATTCATTGGCTTCTTTGGCAGAAGTTTAAAGGAATCAGAATCTACTGATAGAATACTTTCCTATTAATTCACTGGAAGACAMAAGAAGTTCACAGAGACTGATAACTAGACTTTTATTTTATCATACTTTAGACTCTAGAAAATGGACCTGAAAGCCCATTTCTCTGTATTTTTGTACAATGACATCAAATCACACTTTACCTCTCTCTCAACATACCTCCAGCTCATCGAGCGCACTTCCCAGGGTTGCTGCTTGTGGTTCYGATGGGGCCGGCATATTCTGGATGCCTTGGGAAGCATTTGAAATTACATTGAGGGCATTCTGAATTTCTTCACAAACTGTATCCTTACTGGCTTTGAGGGAAGCAATATCAGAATGTTCCAAACAAGCTGAGCAAATGGAATGCAAGAGGGGGGAGTTCTCCTTCAGTGTGGCTCGTGCCCCTGCAATTTCATCCCTCTGATTTGGAGATTTTAAGTCCTGAGAAAGGAAATTAAAAAAAGAAAATGTAAAGGTAYTTTTTTACAATGCATTATGTGTAAAAGACTTATACACAGAAGCTTTATCTTTCTGTCAGTATATACAAAAAGATAACAGACACTAAATAGTCAGCCATGAGTTCATTAAAGTTATCAATTATTTCTACATTCCTTCAAATTCTGAAGTGCTATAATACAGAAATGTGATGGTGCACAAGTAAAAGTCACAATGGTACAGATGTATAAGACTTGAGTAGATCTCAATATGTCAGCCACATCTTCATAAGTCACTAAAATACTCTGGCATTCACATAAGTGTATTATAAGACAACTTGAATTATAAGGGTGCTAATTCTTCTTTCCATAAATGTTGGATAATTGCATATAATTTTTGTTAAAATTAAGTGAGTTAAAAACACTAAATAAAACATCTTACCATTCAGCTACTTTTCTGCTGTTTTTCAGAAATACTAACAAATTTATCCTGAATCCTTCTTTCTTTGATAGTTATTCAAGATAGTTTCTGAGCATTTAATATATGTTAGCCCTTTTGTTAGACTCTGAGTTTACAAATGTGAACAATATGAAAGGGTATTGTTCAGATAAGGCTTATGTTCCTGTATGTGGGAAGGAGACCTTTCAATAAACAATAAACTAGGTAAACAAATACACAAGACAATTTCAGGTAATGAAATTACAAAAAAATGAAATGTCAAAGGGATTGACTTGAGAGAGGAAAGCTGTTTTAATCCAGCAGTCAACAAAGATATTTATGTGGAGATGACAATTTACAGTAAATCTAAATAAAGAGCCTTATAAACAGAGAATAGAGGCAAAAGAAAGTCCTAGCTAAGTGATAGCTGATCAAAGATACAGTGGAAAAAACCTGACTAGCACTACCTTAATGAAGTGTTAAAAGTTGGCATCTTCAGTGACTTCACATGGATATCATGGACTACTTTATACATCTGGCAAAGAAGAGGATATCATTTCTGTGCTTCTCTCTAGAAAACCACAAGCTTCATCCAGTCACGAGAAAAACAAAAAACAAAACCACATAGGGGAATATCCTACATGATCAGGTGCAGTATTCCTCAAAACCATCGAGATTATGAAAAACAAGGAGACTGATAGACTGTTATAGACTAGAAGACACTTCTCAAAGGATCTGACAAATAAATTCAGGGTGGTACTCTGGACTAGATCCTAAACCAGAAATAAGACTTTCATGAAAATCTGGGAAAATTTAAATATAATCTATTAATAATTGACAGTAATATATCGATATGTATTTTTGTAACAAATGTTAAGAAAGGTAGATAGGAACTGTCTGTACTAGCTATGTAACTTTTCTGTATATCTAAAATTATTGTCAATTTTTTTTATTTGAATAAAGCTAGTTTAAGGGACATTTACAGTAGTTTATGCAATGCATAGATAACATCTTATATAATCTTCATAAAAACTCAGGATAAAAGTGATTCTTATTTCATTTTAAAGATGAGAAAACTGAGGTTTCAAGAGACTAATTTCTTTAACCAAGTGGCAGAGTTATAATGGTGACATTTATTGTATCAGTGTGACTCCCTATCCCTAATCTTGTCAACTGTACTATACTCTTTCCTGTGTGGAACAATTTCCTTACTTGCTGTATAAGAATGATGACTTGATTCTATATCGTTTAACTTATAAAAYGCTTGTACACAATATCTTATTGACTCCATGACACCCCTTAAGAAAGTTAGGCTAACATTATTAGCCCTGTTTTAACTAAGTTGGTATTTAGTGAAAGTAGACTGGTAAAAGAATTTAGATCTTTTAAGTAAGTCTTTTGATTGCAATTCCATATACCCCTATGMTTTTTTTCACAAGATTCTGCCACCTCAGGATAATGCTGCCTGAGGTTAATAAATGGCTTTTGCTACTATATTTTTAGTTCTTTCTCTTCTGGAAATAAAGGCTGTCTGCTACTTTAGGCAGGCTTTGGGGAGATTAACCTCTTTACAAGATGTAGGGAGGACAGTTAGAAGTAGCTGTCAACTCACTATTCATACTCACTAATTATCCAAGAAAAGACATTTTGTGATTTTCTTGTCTTGTTAAAATTTCCCCCCCCCCTTATTTTTGGCCTGGATTCTAGTTTCAGCTCCATTATTAGGGCTATGAGCAGGGTAAGTCATCCATACTTCAGATGTCTGCTCTTTCATTTGTAAAAATGGAAATAATGACACTTCTGCCAACTCTCTCACAAGACTTAGGATACAGCACATCAGAAATGGAATACATGTAGAAAACAGTAAATAATTATAGAGTATGGAATTATTTAATTCCTCAATTTATCAAATTTAGCATATGTTTTTGTTCTGTGATGATCTTGGTGATTTTTATATCCCCCGCAATTTTATAGCACCACTTACATTCATCCCACTGTGACAYAGAGGATAAAGAGTTTAATGTTTACAAAGGATACATAGCTTCTCAAAGGAATAACAACAAAGAATTGAGGAAGATTCTCTGTATTTATAATATAATATAATATTTCCTCTGAAGTAATTTACACATTTATACTTCTTTGTTTAGATTGGCAGTGTCAGAATTTACRTAAGTGAAGGGTGAAAAAAGGTGAATGCAAATTATTACAAAGAAGGTTAAGGTTAAAAATTATTTCCTTTGCTCTGACAGTGGCTATGCATATTTACTATAAGTTGCAGTAACTTTAATACTATAGAGACTTTAGAATTTAAAAAGTATAAATATATTCTGGCTTTTGACCTCATACTTTGCCATCTCTGCCCAAGCAACTGTAGAATCCTTAATGAGCACTAATACCCCAAAGAGCAAGCCTATCAAGCCTTCAAGAAAGGACAGGATCCATGAACATAGCAGTAATATACTATGACAGTGGATAGAGGAAAGAAAGGAAAGGTGAATAGTTTAGGTAAGAGAAATTGAGGTGAGAACATTTCTCCCAAAGGATATCAAACATAACAAATTTAAAGTAGTAAACAGACAGATAAAAGGAAAACTAATAACTATCATTCTCCTAAACAAAAGGTTGTTGTGGTAATGTTTGTGGTTGTTTTAACTGATGTTACCAGGGGTTCAAAGGTTCATAGGTTGTCTATATTCTAAGATTGTAAACGAAATCAAAATAAGAATTAAACAACAAGACCAATTAGGGAATTCACTGGATGTAGAAGTATACAGAATCTAATTCCTCCAGGACTGACACTCATTTGATATCTTTTTTTTTAAGTGCTCCAGAAGAAAAAGCTCACATGAGATTTCCAAGTGAAGGAGACATTAATGCTTCCAGCTGATGAAGAAGCTCACAGATGGGATTAAAAAACAAGACCTTAAAAATYGGTGCAATTGGGTAGAGAAGTAACATATTAGTTTTAACCCTGGCAAGAGAACAAATATATTTAGGGATTTTAAAGATCACATAACATAAAAATGGAGGGCTCTAAGTTATAAGCTAATTCAACCATTCATTCAACAAATGCTTCAGAAAATGCATTATGTGTTGAGAATGCAAAGATAAAGAACTCATAGAGAATAAGGGGAGACAAAWAAATTCATATGAAAATTAAAATAAAGTTATAAAATAGAGGGGATTTTAATCCCCAATCTTGAGGGGGTTAATGAAAATTTATCAAAAGAATCTTTTTCCAGTTTTTCAAGGTTCAACTGATAAATAAAATTGCATATATTTAAAGTGCACAGCATGATGCTTTGATATACAGTGTAAAATGGTTAACACAGTCAAGTTAATCAATACATCCATCAATATAGAGTTATCATGTGGGCATTGTAAAGACATTTAAGATCTGTTCCTTGTAAATATCAAGTAATCAATACAATATTATTAGGCATCATCACCATGTTGTAATTAGATATCCAGAATTTACTCATCTTAAAACTATAAGTTTATATCCTTTGACCAATATCRCCCCATTTCCCCCCATTCCCCACCACTGCATCCACCATAATATTCTGTTTCTAGGAGTTAAACTGTTAAATTTCTTTGAAGTGAGATCACAATGTCTTTCTATGTCTACGTGATTTCACTTAGCATAATGTCCTCCAGGTTAATCCAAGTTGTTGTAAATGGCAGGATTTCAGAGAAAGTGAAACTTAGAGAATTAGAACTTATCCCTGTGAACAATGCAGAACAATCAATCAATCAATCAATCACTAGCATGTGCAAACGCCTGAAGCATGAAAGGAGCATGCAGCCACTACAGGTGTTACTACAAGTACAGAAAACCTGAGCAGGAATTCTGATAAATCCAGCTGGAAAGTTAGGCAGGAGGTATTTCACATACCATGCTAAGAACACTAAAAGCAACAAGTTTAAATATTTATTTTCAAAAAATTTCCCTGGTGAAAGCCTTTTGAATTGATTAACAATTATGACATTGTAATCAGGGAGACCAAGGACAATGTGTGCCTGAACACTGTATCCAGGTAATATTGAGGAAGTAAAAATTTTAAGACTGGGATACTTAGATGGGAKGGAAAAGAGATGGTATTTACAAGTATTTAGAAAATGGTTTCACCAATTGTACAGATAGTGATGCAGACACCAACATGGGAATAAAGAAAAAAGAATATGTTTGGAAGACAAAAGTTAAGCACATTTTGTCACCTACCAAATTTCAAATGCCACCATAAGATCTAAAATGAAAGCACACTCTAGAATTCAGAGAAGAATCTAGCCTAGAATAGACATATATGAATTATTAGCTCCCATTTGGGAGCCAAAGCTAAGTAGGAAGGTCCTTCTTCCCAGATGAGTGTTACAAGGAGAGGAACCTAGAAGTCATAAATTGTTATTCAAAGATGTCACCATAATAATTTTATGTGCTAACCCCAAAGGCCAAATATTGCATATACTTAAATTACCAAAAAGGGCATCAGAAAGTACTGAATATTTTTTTAAAAAAAATTAAGTTTGAAAATGTTTTTAAAAAATGCACACCAGAGTTTAGAACCTGT